ACCATGGACTTTGTGGATAAGGTGAGGGATGTCATCATGGAGACTGATGAAACAATGGTCTCTTTTGATGTCACATCACTCTTTACATGCATTCCTGTTGATGATGCAGTAGAGGTGGCCAGTTTAAGATTAAAATCAGACACCACTCTGAGCAGCAGGACCACGCTTTCCACAGAACAACTGTGTCAACTCTTGAAACTGTGCCTGCAGTCAACCTACTTCACATATGGGGAGCAATATTATAGGCAGAAACATGGGTGTGCTATGGGGTCTCCAGTTTCTCCTATTGTTGCCAACCTGTACATGGAGGAGGTAGAAAAGAGAGCCTTGACGTCCTTTTCAGGGACACCACCAAGTCATTGGTTCAGGTATGTTGACGACACCTGGGTTAAAATTAAATCTCAGGAAGTCCAACATTTTACTGACCACATCAACTCTGTGGATAAATACATCAAGTTCACACGAGAAGATGTAAAAAATGGCAAGTTGGCTTTCTTGGACTGTGAGGTCTCAGTCTCTGATAGAGGACATTTGCAAACCGAGGTGTACCGCAAACCCACCCACACAGACCAGTATTTGCAGTTTGTCTCCCATTACCCTTTGGAGCACAAGTTAGGAGTCATCAGGACTCTGTATCACAGAGCAGACAGCATCCCCACTAGCTCAGGAGCCAGGCAGAAGGAGAAATCCCACACAAGACAGGCTCTAGAGCAATGTGGATATCCTAACTGGGCCTTCCTGAAAGCAGAGAAGAAACCCAAACAGGACTCCAGTCAGCCATCAGGTGAAAAGGAGGAACCCAGACCCAGACCAGTGGTGATTCCGTATGTTGAGGGGGTATCAGAGAAACTGAGACGTTTATTTTCTAAACATAACGTCCCAGTGGCTTTTAAACCCCAAAATACATTATGGCAAAGACTGGTTCATCCCAAAGATCCAGTCCCCCGGCACAAACAGAGTAATGTTGTGTATGCTGTTCAGTGTCAGGAGGGCTGTGATCAGTCTTACATCGGGGAAACTAAACAGCCACTGGCCCAAAGGATGGCCCAGCACAGAAGATCAACATCATCAGGCCAGGACTCTGCGGTTTACACTCATCTCCAGGCCAGCGGTCACTCTTTCAAGGATGAAGATGTTCACATCCTGGACAGAGAGGAACGATGGTTTGAGAGAGGAGTAAAGGAGGCCATCTTTGTGAAAAGAAACTGTCCATCATTAAACAGGGGTGGAGGCCTCCGGGTTCAACTGTCCCCCTCTTACAATGCTGTGATTGCTAGTATCACTCAGCCCTCTGTGAGTAGTAAACAGCCATCAGTGTGCTAATGATCCATTGTTAGGCTGATGGTCCTTCTTGAGCATGTGATCAGTTGGTTTTGGTTGTCAGCAACAAAACTGGTTGATCCACCCTGAGAAGTTGCTATTTAAGAGACTGAGCTGAAAACAGCACCTCAGATTGAGGAAGTCTCTCGGATGAGAGACGAAACGTTTCTAGATTTTTTTGCTTTGTTTTGTTTTTTGTTTTTTTTGAATGTCCAGAGGACCAGATTGAACTTTTTTGGACTATAAGATTAAGGTAGCTAACATTACAATACATGCTTAATAGTAAATGGATTACTTACTTGCAGAGCCATTAATAATCGCTGAAGGGTCTTACTTTTTACCGATGGTGTGGGCACTTCTAAACAGTACGTTCAGCTTTTCACGCTGGGCTGTTTAAAGCTGCTTAGTACCCTCATAGCAGCAGTTTTCTCCTTGAATGATGCATTTCAGCTCCTTGTGGCATTTAGATGATTTGTGGTCCTTGATGGCCTCTAATTTCAATTTTTTTTTGTGCCTACAATAATACAATACAAAAATATACAATACTGGAGAGCTTGTGCTGCCAACAGCTGGAACAAAACATTGACTGACTGCTCTCATCAAAAACAAGCCAGTCACTGAACTTGCCATTGCCATTTCTTTTCCATTTATTGTTAAAAAAAAACATCCACAGTTCTTCTCTCGACTCCTCTGGAGAGATATTTTTGTTGTCTGCAACCCGCTTGACTCTCAAAATGTACCTCTACATTGCTAAAGCTACTGCTCAAGTTTCTTCCTTCTTCTAATGGCATTTATAGCAAACCAGCAGCAACTCAAGCACATTTCTGCCCCCTACAAGTCAGGAGTATAAATGTAATTTTTATTTTTATTTTTTTCAAATTGTAAACCTTCCACCGTGGCTAGTGTGTTGTTCAAATGTACACGCTACTTCAAAACATTTACCCACATTTGGCCAGTGGCGGGTGCTAATTTCCATTCCTGATCATGAACTTTGATGAGTCCGGTTACAGGCAGGAGGTGGAACACCTGGAGAGCTGATGCAGGAAGAACAACCTTCACATCAATGTGAAGAAGATGAAGGAGCAGATGGTAGATTTCAGAAGGAGCAATTACACCTACCCCCCTCTGCACATCGTAGGAGCTCTGGTGGAAGTGGTCTCCAGTTACAGGTATTTGGGTGTGCACCTGAATAGCATGCTCACCTGGGGCAATACCACTACCAGTCTGATCCAGAAGGCACATCAGCAGCTCTACTTCCTCAGGTGGCTGAGGCAAGCAGGACTAGGAAGCTCAGTCCTCACTTCCTTCTACAGGTGTGCAGTGGAAAGTGTCCTGTGCTCCAACATTAACATGTGGCACGAGGGCTGCACAGCTGGAGAAAGAAAAGATCTGCAGAGAGTGGTGAAGGCTGCACAGAAGACTGCTGAATCAGCCTCCCCATCATCACAGATATCTACACCTCAAGATGCAGGAAGAGGGCCACCTGCATCATGAAGGACTCCACTCACCCAGCACACGCCGTTTTTGCCCTGCTCCCCTCAGGCAGGCAGTTGCAGAGTATTAAGTGTAGAATCAACTGACTCAGGAACAGCTTCTACCCTGAAACTGACTCATAAATCCTAACTAGAAAATTCACTGTAATGCCACTTTAATTGGTGATATGTGACTTTACCTGTGCTGCTGATTATCCATGCTGCTGATCTCTTACTCATAAGCTGCTGTATTCATACTCATATGCTCACAACAGACTCGTTCAGGCTGCTGTTTAATACACCTTCCATCTATCCTTCCATCCATTATCCTTTACCTGCTTCTTACATTTTGGGTCACAGGGGTCGCTGGTGCCCATGTCCAGCAATCACTGTGCGAGGGGCGAGGTATACTCTTGACAAGTTGCAAGTCCATCACAGGGACACATAGAGACAAACGAGACAACCATTCACTCTCTCACTCACACCTACGAACAATTTAGAGTTACCAATCAGCCTAACATGCAAGTTTTGGTCTGTGGGAGGAAACTGGAGTACCCGGAGAAAACCCACGCATGCACAAAGAGAACATGCAAACTCCACCCAGAAAGACCACCAGACCGGGATTTGAACCAGCAACCTTCCCGCTGAGAGGCAGGAGCTCTACCAGTTGAGTCACTGTGCTGCCCTTTACTACTATTATTATATTATTTTATATTATTATTGTTTAGCATATATCTTAGATTCTTGTATACTGTTTCTTCTTTTCTTCAATATACTTTATATTATTGCTATGGGTGTAAGTGGGACCTTGAGTACACAATTTCATTCCACTTCATGTACCACATGTCATGCGAATGACAATAAAGTCACCTTGAACATATCTAAGTGATAGCGCAGAAAACCCAAGCCAACACTAACTATAGAATTTATCAAAAAGTAAAAACTTAAGCTTATCCTTAAAAGTAGACAAGGTGTCAGCCTCACGGACAGAAAGTGGAAGTTGGTTCCACAAGAGAAGGGATTGATGACTGAATGCTCGGCCTCTCTTTCAACTTTTGGAAACTATAGGAACCACAAATAAACCTGCAGTCTGAGAGTGAAGTGCTCTGTTAGGAAAATATGGAACAATAAGATCTGTAAAGAAGATGGAACTAGGTTGTTGAGAGCTTTGAATGTTAGAAGTAAGATTTAGAATTATATTCTGAATTTGACAGGGAGCCAATGGAGAGAAACTAAAATAGGAGAAATATGATCTCTCCTACCAGCTCTCATTAAAACACTGGTACCAGCATTTTGAATGAACTGAATACTTTTTAAAGAAGTTTTGGGATTCTCAGATAATAAACAATTGCAATAGTCCAGCCTAAGATAAATGTTTGGACCAGTTATTCTGCATTATTTTTGGACAAGATGTTTATAATCTTAGTGATATTACGCAGGTAGAGGAAAGCGGTTCTGGTAACATTTTTAATGTGGGTGTTATAAGACATATCCTGACAAAAAACAATACCTTTTTTCTTTTTTACATTAAAACTAGAAGCCAAATTAATGCCATCCAGATGAAGTAAAAGGCTGCAAAGTTTATTTCTAAGATTCTCAGGAAAAAACAAAAAAACACAAACTCTGTCTTGTCTGAGTTTAAAAGCAGAAAATTAAGGGTCAGCTAAGTTTTTATGTTTTTAAGACATGTTTGTAATCTAAATAACTGATTGGATTCATCAAGTTTCATGGACAAATATAACTATCATCAGCATAGCAATAAAACTTAATATCATGCTGTTTAATAACATTACATAATGGAAGCATACTGTACATAAAGTAAAAGACTATTGTTCCAAGCACTGAACCTTGAACTCATTCTGATAAAATACTGTAATTTTAAAAAAATCCCATTTACTGCACAATACATAATACTGAATAATTTATGTCTTTTAAATATTATATTAAAATGTGCATCATCATATATATTCATACATCTTCCGGACATAAGTAAAACTGAAGGTATCTAATTGAATAAGTCTAACTTGCAGTTTCAGGCTGATAAAACAGATGACCTGTGTGAAGTGACAATATTTGGTGTTGGATTTTTTTTAGATATAGGCTTTAAAACATATTTTTTTTCTTTATAAATAAACGAACAATGTTTGTATGACGCCTAATCAGGTCTCAATCTTTTGACTATTTTTTTCTCTTTATGGTTTTAGATTTGGAAGCAAAGATTCATAATGATCCAATCTGGCAGGGAAACAGTTCCATTCAACTGTTAGACCATTCAACAAGTCGGTAGGTTCCTCTCAGATCCATTCACTGTGCCTCCATCTGCCACATGATAGCATTGTTCAGTGCTGTTCATTCTGATATAAATTGTTCTTTCTGCTCTTCTGTCTAAATCTTTCATAAAGGAAAGAGACGATTAGTGACAATTTGTCTTGATTAGGCTATTCTTGTCTGGGTTGAGGAGAGGAAAAAAGATGGAGAACCACAATGTAATTTAAACATGTGCAGGGAACAAGTGATCAGTAGAAAAGAAGTATGTGTGGGATGGGGGGTGGGGGTGGGGTGGGGGTGGGGAAGTACTGTATGAGAATAAATAACCATTTCCAGTTGTCAAGTGTTTTTGGGAGTTAGCTCTTAAGGAAAAGCTGTTTCTGGTAAAGAAGTCGAGCAGCAGTTTCGCTTTTCCAGCATTTCAGGGGAAATAAAAACGCATCCGAGCCATTTTAACTATCTATTAAATTTTCTTCCTATTCTCCCTAATTCCTTCTTAATGTTTTTATGTAACTCTTGAATGTATATACCAAGTGCTGAAAGAGGAAATACAGAAGTTGTGTAGCGTTTCAGCATCAGTAGTCCCAGTGGTCACTGGAGCACTCAGTATTGTGACCACCAAACTCAAAGAATGGCTCCAACAAATCTCAGGAACAACCTCGGAGATCTCTGTCCAAAAGAGTGCAGTCCTAAGAACACCTATAATACCATGCAGAACCCTCAAATGCCCAAGCCTCTCTATGGTGGAGGATCCAAGTTTGAAGTGCAGTAGAATTGCCCATGTGGTAAAGTAGGGCAAGCAACAAGTTTTGTAATTTGACATAGGTATTTTTTTTTTTCTTACAAAGCAGGAACAAAAAGACACTTCTGAGTGAAAGCTACAAGTCTCAAGTTTGCTTGCTGGGGTGACAACCGAAGAAGGGAGCAGTCAAAAGAGAGAAAAAACATGTTACACTGCCTTGATGACATGAGCCCATAAGCAACAAGTCCCCTCTGATTGATATGATAGTGATACAATAGGCTACTGCTTTAGGAATGGCACCCGTCTTCTCACGTTTTATGTCATAAGGCACAGCACGCGTCTAAGAGTTTTGTAACGTAATTTGTTTTGGGGCAAAGGCCTCCATTTGTCTCTATCTCCCTTGTTGCCTGAAATTTTCCAGTTGAATCTCATGGGGGAGGGATAAGTGAGTTGTTCAGTGGGAGAGGGGTGTGTAGAGGTGGGGCCAACAAGCTGTATGAGAAGTTGGGCACAGACAAATGGGGGTGGGGGGGCAGGATACACTGGAAGATTAAAAGTATAATTTATAAAGCAACATAGACTATATTGATAATATAGCCTATATTATCTATAGACATTATTGTCTCATCCTATAAATATATCAATATATTTTAAAATGTAATTATATCTCGCAGTACTAAGTAGGTATGTGTGTGGGGTGTATGTATCTGTGTGTGTGTGTGGGGGGGGGGGGGTTAGTGCTGGGCAAAGTTTACAAATTTTAATCGAGATTAATCTAAAATATTTTTGCAATTAATCACTATTTATCTCATTATTATGGATAAAATTAAATTATGACTCCAAGATGTTTAGTGCAATTTTAAGGTACTGTTTTATTTTTTTTAAAATGTTCAATACAATAAATAGGTACTTTTTAACAGAAGTGTTCCCCTAGCAATTTAAGTATTTCTATAAACATAAACATGAACAACATCATAGCAAATATGAAAAGATGGATGGAGGGCTGAAAGAATAACAGCCGGAAACTAATATTGCACAATAATAAATAGATAATTTTATTTCAATTTTGAACAGTTAAAAATTTAAACAAAACCATAAAAAAAAATTAAAAAAAGTAAATATTTTCACCAAAATATTCTGGAAACAAAACAAAAATGTTTGAAAATGGAGCAGGAAGAAGCGATGTCTTATCCAGTCCTGTCTCTGAATTTACATACAGATTCTGAACCAAACCAGTTTTGTAAAATAAATTAAGAACACAAAAAACACAAAGTGTAGACTGAAAAAAGTGTAGGCAGAAGCACAAGCTTATTATACCTTCACTTTGTTACACATCAAAATCAAAGCAGCAGAATATTTTCCTGTATGATTTTCTCAACCATATCAACGAATTCCAGCTAAATTGATAAACTCATAAAAACACAAAAAAGGAAAGGGAGAAAAAAACACACACACAAAAAAAAAAAAAAAATCAAACCCTATTATATTTGTTTAGTAAATTATTTTTATACATTTCTTTAAATTTAAAGAGTGAAAAACACAGTTGAATCTCCTTATGACATCTATTCCACACCTGAATCCCTCTAACTAAAGTACAGTTGTTTTTAATATTTGTCCTAACCTTTGTTTTTTTTTGTTTATTAATAAATCCTTCTCTCTTAAATCACAGTTTTTCTCTTTAATTTTGAACCACTTTTGTATACACCTTGGAAGGAGTTTATTATAGGCCTTGTACATAATCCATGTTGTTCTGAGTTCTACTAAATCATAAAATTGTTTATATATACAATGTAAGAAAAATGTCATTAGTTGGATGAAAGTAATCAGAGGCAGTTATAATTTGGATAGCTTTCTTCTGGAGCATGTAGACCAGTTTTGTGTTGGTTTTATACGAGTTTCCCCATATCTCAACACAATGATTCATGTATGGAAGTATGAAACAACAGTATAATAAGTAAAGGGCTTTCTTATTTAGGAGATGTTTTGTTTTATTCAGTATTGCAATATTTTTTGACATTTTGGCCTTTACATTATCAATTTGAGCATTCCAATGCAATTTGTAATCAAGTATCACCACCAAAATCTGATTTCATAAACTCACTCTATTTCAATACTGTTTATCACGAGTTTGAAACAATTTTTTTCATTTTCTTGTTACTAAATATTACAAATTTTGTTTGATCATAATTTAGTGATAATTTATTTTTGTCACACCATTTCTTTAATGCTTGTAATTCTCCTTCCATTATACTGAGGACCTGCTCCAAATTATTACCAGAGCAATATAATGTGGTATCATCGACAAACAAAGTAACTTATAACAACTTAGATACAATGCATATATCGTTTATGTTAAGTAAAAAAAGTTTAGGACCCAGCACCGAGCCTTGTGGTACTCCACAGGTAACCTCAAATAAATCAGAATTCACAATCTTGAATAGCAAAAATAACAGGAGTGATAAAGAACAATAAAAATGATTGAAGTATATATTAATAAGAATTGCACAAACGTGAACAAAGTAAAAAGTGCATATATCCAGCTGGTTCAGTTTGTGCCGGGTCGTCATGCAGCAACAGCCTTGTTTCTTGAGCTATGAACCTGCAGAATAAAGCTGGAACGAGATCCCAAGTTGCCTAAATACAAAATTATAAATACATTTCAAAAGCTGTCAAGAAGTTATTTTGTTCTACTTACATGGTTTGTCATGTAAAAACAGTATTGCGCTGTAGCAGGTTTGAGTCCTCTGCTCTGCGGCCAGCTGAGAGCAGCACGGACCTGAGCGTGCACCTGACACACATCAGCAGGTGTCATCATTTTAAGTTTGTTAAAATGATGACACAGGAAAAGTGCAGCGCTGTGGAAGTCGTAGATGATTCTGCGCTTCAGTACATCTGCATGTCTGTGGCACACAAACGCGAGTCTGTACATGTGTGAGGACTGTGTTGCTTCAGTTTCTCATTCCAGAGGCAAACAAGGTTGATAGTGGGGTATTTGTCACCATCCAGTTTTCTCTGTGCACGGTAAAACGGTTCTAGAACTGTGACTAAAAAGCCCAACATGTCGGGGGAGATGATGTCCGTGCGCGCCTGCTCCCCGCGAGCCTCCATCTTCTCACAGCTCGTAGTAGATGTCTTGCACTGACTAGGTACACAGTGCTGAATGTTGTCTCGCTCATCTGGAGAACAGTCTTTGAGAGCTGCGCAGATAGACCAGATTGTTTTCTATATTACACAAGATAGACCAGATTGTTTTCTATATTACACAAGAGAGACCAGATTGTTTTCTATATTACACAAGAGCTTTGCACAGCCGTGATGGTCTCAACATTTCTGGAGCATTTTTGGCAAGTACGTCAGGGTCCAGAATCCAGACCTCAGACTTTGTACCATGCTGGCTTTGAAGAGTGAGTTCTCCAGTTTTTAGCTTTTCTTTTGTACTTTATTTGCTTCATTATGTTGCTTAATTGTGTGCAGGTCAAGTGCTAATCCTCAGATGTGTCATAAGAGGAGCAGGGTGGGCGGGGCCATGAGTAATTGTTGTGCAATGTGTCGCCAGCGCTGCTCTCTTTTCACAGTCTGATTAACTTCTGCACTCTATTTTATATATTTACATTCCTCATCAGTAAACTTACTGCCTCCTCCTCTAAGTAGATTAACACAGTGTTATATTGTGCATTATTTAGTTTGATTTCTGCTGTATGATTCATAAAACCGCATCAAAGCCCGAGACAAGCCCGGCCCACCCATTAATCTCATTATAACGACCCGGCCCTAATCTGGGTCAGGTCGGGCCAGGCCGGGTTTCAGGTTTGGGTTAGAAATGACAGCTCTACTTCTCACTGAATGTTGACCCCAATATTAGGGATAAGCAATATGACCAAAAATTAAGATCACAATATTTTGGTACTGTATCACAATTGTAGTGAACTAGGCCTCCGACCTCAACCTGTCTCTGAAGACCTATGGTGTAGATCTTAGCATTTTAAATCCTCCAATAATCAAAGTATTACTGTTTATTTCACCACAATGACTCATAACAGTGAACTCTCACTCATAGACTCATCCTCTGACCCTCGCTCCCTCAATGTGATTAAAAAATAAAAAATACATACACGCAAATGTTCTCTCACATATACAAAACAAAAATTTAAACAGAAAACTTTTGTTTTTCCATCCACCCATCCATTGTCTTTATCCGCTTCTTCCTTTTCGGGTCACTGGTATCCATATCTATCCATCACTGTGCAAGAGGCAGATGACACCCCGGACAGGT